GAGAGAGAGAGAGAGAGAGAGAGAGAGAGAGAGAGAGAGAGAGAGAGAGAGAGGTGGGGAGAGGGGAAGGATGACTCAAAAAGGAGGCAGTCAGAAAGGGAAAAACATCCTTCCCATAGATTGAGGGTTGCCTCAAGGGGTTTCTCTAACTGTTTTGGAAAAAAAAACAGAAAGCAATTGGGAAGAAGATCCCTCTGTTCTTCCCCGCTGCCATTCGCCCTCACTTCCGCAGTCCACTCCACCCTTGATTGCCCTCTTCCTTTTTTTTTTTTTTTTATTATTAATTATTAACACTTCAAAAGAACCTTTTTCAGGCTTTTTGTACCTTGTAGGTGAGTCTTCCGATCTGCAAGCCTGTCTCGCCGTCACGGACGGAGTCAAGAAGCCCACCGGTGGAGGACACAACAGGTACCTTGCAAAATGCAAAGACAGGTGTCATCATTCTTACCCATCAAACGAGAGAAAAGATCCACGTGTCATCATCCTAACCCATCAGATGAGAGACATTAAATTAAACATTAATGACAAACAAATTTGGGAATTGTGCATTCCAATAGTACCGACCCGCATGCATGGGTCCTAATGGCAGTCCGTAATGATACTCATTCATTGTCAATGATTCATTATCAATAAACATGATTACAATAGTACCAATTATACCATAAAAATATTAAATAATAAATACCACTGTCACAAAAAAAACAAGACTCGACAAGTGACAACAACAAATACAGTAGGTGGGAAAAAAAAAAAAAAAAAAAAAAAAAAAACAGTAGGTACTTTCGCTCTGTGTACAATGTGCTGGGCAGTGGGCATAATGTCATATGGTAATCATTCGCTTGCCGCAGGATTTGAATTCAGGTCTGACGTCTGCTTAGCACCAATTTAATTTATAATATTTTTATATTTAGTATTTAATATTCAATATTTATGTACCATTCACCCACATCATGGGCCACATGGGCTTCCTACTACTCCCGTCTTCACCCGAAACGCAACGCACCCTCATTATTACTGTATCTTGAAGGATAGATGGGCTTAAACATTCATTATCAGGGTGCTTTATGTTCGGGGTGTGAATTCCAACCACACACTGAGGTGAAGCAAGTCCATATTATGCACTTGGCTCCAGAGAGATATAACTTAACCTTTTGTACACTGGTTACGATGCTTGTCCGCTTGCAGTTGTTGGAATTCACAGGGGAAGCCGGGAGCCGGTAGTCCATCATTTGCTTGCGCACTGATGTCAGACTGTGGGCCAGCAACCAATGCCAACCATGCCACAGTGGTTACAACGCTAGACTCTTTGGGCCAAGCCTTAGGGTGCCGGAGAGAATCTGCGCGAGGTCAACCACCTTCTCCTCACAATCTATATATATATGTGGAGATGTCAAACCGAAGGACAAAAAAGCATGCAATACGAGTCCATGAACACAGCATACTATATAGACGGCGCCAACACGTAGGATCAGATCGCATCCAAGCAGACTACCACCTCCAGTCCGTGCCAGTGCTGTCACCAAATTTGGTGACGCCCAATTCCGGAGGCTACCCCTAAGGCCTACGGGTTACCCACCTCCAGTCCATGACACCAAATGTCACCAAATGTCACCAAATGTCACCAAACGTCACCGCGCATGAGAATACAGCACAATAACATTATCATGGAGAGAGAGAGAGAGAGAGAGAGAGAGAGAGAGAGAGAGAGAGAGAGAGAGAGAGAGAGAGAGAGAGAGAGGAATACCGTGCCATAGAGCATGGCGTGCAGCTGAACGAGCCCTGCTGGTTCGTAGCGGCTGGGCATGACCATAAAGTCACACCCTGCTGTCATCATATGAGCAAGACGGGCACAATATACAGTCATCACTGCAACCTGAGTAGGGAACTTCTCCTCGAGCTCCTGAAGCTCCTCTTCGTAGCAGCTCTTACCGGTGCCCTGGAACATGAGGACGGTGCAGGCCAGATCAAGTCAGAGCATGAGAGAGAGAGAGAGAGAGAGAGAGAGAGAGAGAGAGAGAGAGAGAGAGAGAGAGAGAGAGAGAGAGAGAGAGAGAGACGCGTAGGCAGACCGACAGGCAGACATACATACATACAGAGACAGAGAGAGACATAGAGACATGAAGAGTCGGAAACGAAATGAGTGTACAATACTACAAATAGATATCGACTCAGTGATATGAAGGGAAGTCTGGGAAGGTTGCAGATTTCAAGTTGCGGGCCACTGACCAAGATGAGGAATTGGGCGTCGCTAGCATCGCTCTGGAGTACGGTTGAGATTGCAGCTGCCAAGATGTCAGACCCTTTCTGTCCAACCAGCCGTCCCATGAAACCGAACAGAGGCACATCTGGATGAGCGGGCAGCCCCACCTCCTCCTGCAACTGTTTCTTCAGCAATGGCTTCATCCCAAACACCTGCATAGGGAGAAAAATTCCAAGAAGCCCAGGTTCAAGAGTAAGTACCAGATGATGAGACTCAGTCCTTATGAAATCAACTCCTTGAAAAGAAAAAAGAGACAGTTAATAGTCTTATAGACATATAGTAGATAGTATTAACTTAGTACCAGATGATGAGACTCAGTCCTCATGAAATCAAATCCTTGAAAAGAAAAAAGAGACATCAGGTTGAGAACTCTGTCTAGACCTATCAATTGTGGATAATATTGTGGATAAGATGCTGGACACGATCGTGGAAACAATTAACTAGAAAAGGCAAACATGGGCTTGTTAATTGTTTCCACGATCGTGTCCAGCATCTTATCCAGCATTTTATCCAGCGTCTTATCCACAATCTTATCCAGTGGGAATTCCAAATCCGAGATTAACTCTTCTATCCACAAGAAAAGGAACAGCATGGGCTTGTTGATCTTATCGACCGTCTTACTCGATGATCTTATCCACAATCTTATCCATAATCTTATCCACAATCTTCTCCACCATCTTATCCTGGTTATCCACAACCTCCATCTTATCGTGGTTATCCACAACCTCATCCACAATCTTGTCCACAAAGTTTATCCACAATCTTCTCCACAATCTTCTCCACAATATTATCCACAATCTTATCCACAATCTTATCCACAAAGTTTATCCAGAATATTCTATCCACAAAATTTTATCCACAATCTTCTTCACGATCTTCTTCACAATCTTCTTCACAATCTTATCCAGCAGGAATCTCAGATCAAATCAACTCTTATCCGCAAGAAAGGTAAACAACATCATCATGATGGGGATTCATGGGCTTGTTCATCTTATCAAGTTATCAATGATCTTATCCACAAGCTTATCGACAATCTTATCCATAATCCTCTCCACAATTTTCTCCGCATTCTTTTCCTCGATCTTATCCAGTGGGAATCTGAGATCAAGGTTCTCGTATCCAGCAGATAATTGCTTTTTGATCTTACGAGTCTTATCTACCAGCGTCAACCACACGTTACGTCAACTTACGGTGCTCGATTGATCTCCGATTTTGAATCCCACTAGTCATTGCATGCATTGTCATTCACTGACATTCAGTGCAACACCAGTCCCCCAGTCCCTCTTCTGCAAGCTTAATTGTCTATCTGGTGGGGCCCTAATCGGACTAATCCACGCCTAATTGACAATCTGATCAAGTTCAACTTAGTACTTGAAGTGGGTACCGTTTCATCAATAAATTAAATTATGATTACATTGAGTTAACTAGAAATTTTGTCTCTTTTTTTTGGAAGTCCTTGCTAATGTTCTAGGGAGCTCCTTTGAAACACATTATTGCATCATTGAAAACTTCCGACTCGTTCCGAGTGATGATCATTGTAACACCATACTCACAATTGTCCTTTGCTAAACATTTGGGGTCTCGGGAGCAATAAACATTCATCCAAAGAAGTCCTAGTACTGTCCTAGTACTTTCCTAGTACTGTCCTAGTACTGTCCTAGTACTGTCCTACCGTTAGACTATGCACTACGCTGCTACTTTATCCAGACAAAATCTAGTGGCAGTGTGAGAGACTCAGGCGCTTCCCATGCACGGAAGTACATATTACGCATGAATCTAGTATCATTCAGAGCCATATGAATATACAGAGGCCTCCATGTACTAGCCTTACTAGCCTACTAGGTAAGTAGGTAGATATACACAGGGTGGCAGGGAGGCAGGTTCGCAAGGAGGCATGCAGGTAGGCTGGTAGGCAGGTTCAAGGTTGGTTGGTCAGTCCGTACGGCGTACTAGGTAAGTTGGTGGGTAGGTTGGTAGGTGGGTAGGTAGGTGGGCAGGTATTAAGTAGATTGGCTCATAGGTAGGCATATAGGTAGGCATATAGGTAGGCGACGCTACTAGGCGTGGATTTGAGGATGTCCAAACCTTCTCTGCTATTGAAGAAGTCACAAGCTATCTTGAATCCATGCAATGCCATGTACTTAGAAACAGAGATGCAAGCCAGGTATATGTGTCTGTGAGGACAAAAGGGTGAAGGATGAGTAGAATTTAAGTGTAGGTACGTATACGTGTGTGATTTGAATATGACTCTACAGTTACTGTGCATTCATGTGAGGTGAGGTAGTAGAGAATTAGGAGAAGCAACATCGGATACACACCGTATGAGTGTCGTATTGGATGCTCAAGAACTTGTCGGTCACGGGGCTCCACTCTGTCACATCAGCGCCGTTCATGATCCCAATTAATCCTTTTTTGCGTATAAGGTCCTTCAGGCCCGTCCCGAGATATCCGTCTGTCGACACCTCCTCTGCGTACGTTGGACTGACAGTCAACAGCAGATCGGACTCTTCAAACCCTGCCTTCATCCAATTCATCATCGTGACGTCCTCACCACAAAGCTCGGCGGCGCCGCAGCTAACAACAACAGAATAGACATCATCATTAAAATGGTAATGAATATCAAGTATAATCATTCATGTTTTCGTGTGCAATGGTGTGTGTGTGATTAAAATGGTAATGAATATCAAGTATAATCATTCATGTTTTCGTGTGCAATGGTGTGTGTGTGTGTGTGTGTGTCCTCATGTTCGCCGGTGTGTGTGTGTGTGTGTGACAGTGTGTGTGTGTGTGTGTGTGTGTGTGTGTGTGTGTGTGTGTGTGTGTGTGTTGTCACATTCGCCGCTCTAAACAACTCCACAAGGAAAAGCATGACTGCGCCAGACTGTCTTGTGAGACTTTCACCGACTCATCAGGAGGTTGAACCTGGACGGACAGTCTGCCCAGGATGCATTTGACTGAGGGAATAGTGATACCCCCCTGAGAGAGAAAAGGGGTCGACTTTACTCACATCAACCCTGCAATCCTTATCAGACTGTCGGTCCAAGCTCCTGACAAGAATGGCAGTAATCTGACATATCCATAAATGATAAAACGGTATTAAAAGTTTTTTAAAACCTCTCTTTCGGCCTGTCACGACGGGTAAACCATAATCGTTTTCAAAAGCCCGCGAGTGGTCTAGACTTGTGGAAAGGGCACTCCCAAAACGGGCTATTAGCAAAAATAAAAATAAAAATAAAAAGAGGGACCACCCAGCAAACAAAGTAGATCCTCCAAAAAAAAAAAAAAAAGAAAAAAAAAGAAAGATCCTCCATCAATTATAACGATGGTAGCAATCTTCTCTGTAGAATGAGGAGAAGCGGAAAATTCGCCGGAAATGGACTCATCATATTTTACTGCAGAGGAAGATTTTACCTGTGGTCATCACTGAAGGCGGCGCAGTATTCTTTAGGTAGATCAAGAAACTCAAGGCTGTACTGATCTTCCCTGAACAGTCCTTGGAACGATACATTGTGCAAACACAGCGCAACCTGAGATGCAAGAAAAACCGAAGCCGATGATGCACAGTCACAGCGCTGAGTGATGGGCAATGAATATGAGTTATGAAAATTCAAATGCAAAATGTTTTCGTTGCAAACATCACATCACGTTCGATTGCAGGTCCACAGTCAAACGAATCAAACACACAGTGGAAAGCAGTTGAGCACAGTCAAACGCAGTTAAACACAGTCAAACTTCGAGCTCAATTTTTTTTTTTGCTCGATTTTTCTTTTTGGTTGCAGCTTGCAATTTGCAAACATGACCACTTTCCGTTCAAAGTTCCACGCAGTCCACAGTCAAACACAGCCAAACAAAGTCAAACTTTACTTCCAACGCAGTCAAACTTTGCGTGCAACACAGTCAAACACAGTCACACACAGACACACACAGACACACACAGTCGCACACAGGGACACAGTCGCACACAGTCGCACACAGTCACACACAATCACACACAGTCAAACACAGTCGCACACAATCGCACACAGTCAAACACAGTCAAACACATACCACATGCATTGATATAGCTGCTACTAAAGCATAGGGTGCGGGTGACTCATCCAGTCAAAGACAGTTGAGGAAAGTCAAACGCAGTTAAACACAGTCAAACTTTTGAGTTCGATTTTATTTTTACTTGTTGCAAAGTTGCAAACAGGACCACTTTCAAGTTGGAAGTTAAACACAGTGCACAATTAAACACAATCAAACACAGTCAAACTTCGCATGCAACACAGTCAAACACAGTCAAACTTTGCATGCAACACAGTCAAACACAGTCAAACTTTGCATGCAACGCAGTCAAACTCAAACTTTGCATGCAACGCAGTCAAACACAGTACTCAAATATTGCATGCAACAAAGTCAAAGACAGCCAAGCACAGTCACATGAAGGCACACACTGTGACAGTCAAACACAGTCAAAACCTACGACTTGCATTGATATATTAGCTGCTAATAAAGCGTACTAGGGTGAGTGAAACTGTGAGGGGATTCAAAGGGTATTCAATTTTGGAGAAGTTGGGCATGATGAGGAGGAAAAGGCTCAGGGTCACGGGTTAATAAAAAAGACGCCGAGAAGTTGAGCAGGAGGAGCCTGGGGTGGAATGCTCACGCCGCCTCACGGGAAGTAAGGCAAACAGATCACGGGTTTAACTTAGTAAAAAATACTTGGAGAAGTTGAGCATGAGGAGGGGGGAATGCTCACAGGAGGTGAGGCAAACAGATCATGAGGAGACCCCGGTGGAGAGGCTGCTCAGTGCTCACCTTTGCATCGGAGAAGATTCCCCTCGATTTAAACCTGCTTTTGAGGTAGAGAGGGACCAGAGCCGCATGCCAATCGTTTACAATGAATGTAATGTCCTCCCCTGGTCACACATCACAGTCACATTCATACATACACGCGGAGATGAGAGAAGTACCCACGTCAGGTTCCATATCCACAATACCTCTCTCTCTCTCTCTCTCTCTCTCTCTCTCTCTCTCTCCGTGTGTGTGCACCGTGGACATACAGACACAGTGTCACACACATGCAGACATTCAGAAAACTCACACACACACACACACACACACACACACACAGAGCAATTCTTTTCGTTGTGGAGCTGTGTATACACTGTATAGCGAAAACGACACACACACACACACACACACACACACACACACACACACACACACACACACACACACACACACACACACATAGAGCAATGCTTTTCGTTGTGGAGTTGTGTATACACTGTATAGCGAAAATGACAACACACACACATTGTCAAACAGAGGCATGTTTCATGCAGGGCCATGAGAGAGAGAGGAAAATGCCAAATAGCATTGGCATTTGCTGAGGGCAAGGGGAACTAACCGTAGGGACCGATCTCGCTGGCCAGGTTCAGAAGCAACGGCGCTTGCACTGCAGCCTGGGTCACCAGCGGTCACCAGCCAACACGTTCGACACTTCACACAGTCATTTCTGATTCACGATTTTCAAGTTACACAGTCTGACTCAGTCTATTTTTCAGAGCAAGCCAATGGAACTGATTAGGCGGGGCTGCCGTCGAAGTAACTGTTGCCTGCCTGGACGCAGTGAGCTGTAGTCGTGCACTCCTCCTCCTCCTCCTCCCCCTCCTCCTCCTCCTCATTCTCCTCCTCCTCCTCATTCTTCAAGTTCTCCTTCTCCTTCTCCTTAACCTTCTCCTTTTCCTTTTCCTTCTTCACCCCATGCCGATCACTTTTCTCTTTTCTTGTCATTTTTCCATTGAATCCCTTTGATTATGATTCTACAGTCAATTCATTGAGTTGAATTATTTTATTGCAATCTGCCATTACGTGCGACTATCTCTAAATAATTGTGCTTTCTATATAATCTGACGCACTATGGTCGTGCTATAGCCTATAGCTATATAGCTATTGCAGGTATACTAGTCGGTGAAACTCCGACGAAACAGTTTGTCACAGCCCCTCGTTTGTTGTCCTCTTCTCTCTCTCTGCCTACGGTTTACCGGGCAGTTCTGTTTGTGACGATATATATTAGTACTAATTCACTGTATGAGGCCGTATCTGCAGAGAAAATTCGCAAAAATACATCGGATTCCATCATTTTGTCGTATATGCCACCGTGATCAGCACTGACACAACGCTGTGCCCGATTCCCAGCACGTGCTGCTCCTCATGAATACATTGGAGCATTTTGTCAAAAAAAAAGAAAAAAAAAGACAGCTTGGATAGACCATCAGCATGAGTAGGGAACTGACTCCCTTCGGTAGGCACTTCCTACTCATACAGCGTGTCAGCGCCAAGCGTTTTTGGCGCTGTATTTCTGCGAACAATCAGGGCAGACACAGCCTCATACACCGAATTGGCACTAATATTAGTAATATATATGCCAGGATGAGTATAGCTGCCAATGCCTGCCATAGATATATAACTATAGCACGACCATAGTCTGGGTTCAACGAATCGCCTTTTGTCGATAGCTTTAATGACGTGTTGTCTCTCCCACTTCACTTTTAGTGTGTTCCAGTGCCGGTCCCGTGAACATGAACACTGAACGGCAGTTCACGGCGGCCGAATTCTGTGAAGGGCCGTTCACGTGGTTTCCACCCACGTGGAGGCCGGGACGGTCGGGATTGCGGCGGGAGGGGGGTGGTGAGGGGGACTTCTACACCCCCATCACCCCGTGCTGAATAAAAAAAAGAAAAAAGCGTGTGAAAAAAAAAAAAAAAAAGTTTAAGGGGTGGCGGTGGGTGGCGGTTAGCAACTTCAACTTAGCACAGGGCCCTGGCAGAGAAGCGAAGAGGGGAAAAAAAAAATTCTCTCTCTCTCTCTCTCTGTGTGTCTGAGACGGACCCCCATTGCACCACGAAATGGGAACGGCCGGGTCACCTGCACCTCGCAAAGGGCCAACCCGCCTCCCGCGAAACAAGGCCCAACTTTTTTTTTTTTTTTTTTTTTTCCGTGTGGCATGGCAGTGATGGCACGGTGCCGGCATAATGTCATGAATTTTTTTTAATTTTTTTTTTAGGGCCCAAAACACCCTCACAATGCTCCACACAACCAATAAATGCTACGCCGAACACAGGCGAAATCTTTTTTTTTATATTTTTTTTCAATTAAAAAAAAAAAAAAATTCCGATCGAAAAAAAAATAAATAAAAAATATGAGCAGGTGCCCGTTGACACAAAGCACACACAGCGACACACTTGTGCAAAAAACGAACCCCCTACCAGCCAAACAAAAACGGCGTTAACTCTGTGAACTCCCACCCGTCACATTTTTCGTGACCGACCCGCGTTCACCGTGGCCTTGAACGGTGAATGGGGTACGGCACTGGTGTGTTCTCTCTCTCTCTCTCTCTCTCTCTCTCTCTCTCTCTCTCTTGTGCTCTCTCTCGTGCTCTCTCTCTCTCTCTCGTGCTCTCTCTCTCTCTCTCTCTCATGCTCTCTCTCTCTCTCTCTCTCTCTCTCTCTCGTCTGCAGGACTGCATGCTTTCGTAGCGCGTGTTTTCCCCTTTATTTTTTTTTCTCTTTCTCTCTCTCTCTCTCTCTCACACACACACACACACACACACACACACACACACACACACACACACACACACAGCTTTATTTTTCCTTTTTTTCCGCGCACGTGCTCTCTCTCTCAGGCTCTCTCTCTCTCTCTCTCTCTCTCTCTCTCTCTCTCTCTC